CTTTCCTTTACCTCTAATATCCACTTATGAGTCAGGACATACCATGTTTGTCTTCCTGGGTCTGAGTTACCTCACCAAGGAAGTTTTTTCCTAGTTCTATCCATTTGCCTGACATATTTCAAGTTGTCATTGTTTCTCCTAAACAAATAATAAATGGGCTGAAAAAGAAATCAGAGAAATATCACCCTTTATAATAGCCACAAATAATATAAAATATCTTGGAGTAACTCTAACCAAACAAGGAAAAACATGTATGACAAGAACTTTAAATCTCTGAGAAAGAAATTGAAGAAGATACAAGAAAAAAAAATCTCCCATGCTCTTGGATAGGTAGGACCAACAAAGTAAAAATGGCAATCGTACCAAAAGTAATCTACAGATTCAATGCAATCCCCATGAAAATCCTATCACAATTCTTCACAGACCTTAAACGAACAATATTCAACTTCATATGAAAAAACAAAAAAAAATCCAAAATAGCCAAAACAATCCTTTACAATAAAGGAACCTCCAGAGTCATTAGCATTCCTGACTTCAAGCTTCAAGCTCTACTATATAAATAAAACCAGCTTGGTATTGGCATAAAAACAGACACATGGATCAATAGAATCTAACTGAAGATCCTGACATTAGTCCACACACCTATTAACACCTAATTTTTGACAAAAATAAAAATTGTACAATAGAAAAAAAAGCACCTTTAACAGAAGATGGTGGCATAACTGGATGTCCACATGTAGAAGAATGCAAATAGATCCACATCTATTGCCATGCACAAAACTCAAGTACAAGTGGATCAAAGCCCTCAACATTACACTGAACATGATAGAAGAGAAAGTGGGAAGTAGCCTTGAACACATTGGCACAGGAGACCACTTGCTAAATATAACCCCAGCAGCACAGACACTGAAATCAAAAATTCAATAAATGGGACCTCCTGAAATCGAGAAGTTTCTGTAAGACAAAGGACATAACAAATAAGACAAAACACCAGCCTACAGAATGGGAAAATACCTTCACCAACCCCACATCTGACAGAGGGCTGATCTCTAAAATAGATAAAGAACTCAAGAAACTAGACATCAAAATACCGAATAATACAATTAAAAATGAGGTTCAGAACCTTCATCTAATAACTGATGGAAGCAGATGCAGAGTGGTTGTTGTGGAACCGGCCACTGCAAAGAGCTCCTGGAGTCCTGGGAAGATTGGTAACATGAGCAAAGGGTCCAGACCATGATCAGGAAACCCACAGAAAAAGCTGACCCAAACTAGTGGGAGCTACTGGCTCTGGACAGATAACAAGGTAACCTGCATAAGACTGATCTAGACCCCCTGAAAGCAGGTGACAGTGCATGGCTTGGACAGTTTGTGGGGCCACTAGCAGTGGGACCAGGAGCAATCCCTAATGAATAATCTGGCATTTTGGAGCCCATTTCCTATGAAAAGAAACCTTGCTTAGGCTAGACACGAGGGGGAGGGCCTTGGTCCTTTTTCAATATGGTTAGGTGACAGAGTTCATTGACTCCCCATGGGAGGTCTTACCCTCTCTGAGGAGCAGATTGTGGGTAAGGTAAGGGGAAGGTGGAGGGGGGAGCAGGAGGGAGGTGGAACTGGGATTAGTACGTAAAAATAAAATAAATTAAAAAATGGTGTTCAGATCTAAACAGAGAATCCTCAAGTGAAAAATCTCAAATGATTGAAATACACTTAAAGAATTGTTCAACATTCTTAGCCATCAGGGAAATGTAAATCAAAACGCCTCTGAGATACTTACACTTATCAGAATGACTAAGATCAAAAACACTGCTGATATCTTATAATGGAGAAGATGTGGAGTAAGAGGAACACCCCTCCACTGCTGGTGGGAGTGCAAACTTGTATAGCCACTTTGGAAATCATAATGGTTTCTCAGAAAATTGGGAATCAATCTATATCAAGACCCAGCAAACTCCAAAGAAAACTCCAAAGTGGTAACTCCAAAGAAAAGTTTATAATTATTTTCTTTTTACCTCTCCCCACTCTGTGTGTGTATGTGTGTTTGTGTGTGTATGTGTATTATATGTATGTGCATGTATGTGCGTGCATGTGTGTGTGCGTATGTGTGTGTGTGTGTAGATCAGAGGTTGGTGTTGGCTAGCTTTTTCAATCACTCTTCCACTGGGGTTCACTGATCCATCTAGACTGGCTGACAAGTCCCAGTGATTTCTGTCTTCTTGTTGCTGGGATTACAAGTGTGTACTTCCAAACTCAACTGTTCATGCGGGTCCTGGGATCTGAACTCAAGTTCCAAGGTTTGAGTGGCAGGGACTTTACTGACTGAACTCTGTCTCCCCAGATCTCCAATTCTGATGCTTTAAAAATAAACATTCCAATATAAACCTTAAATGTTAATTTTTATTTTTTAAGTATAAACACTTTGGCAGTGTCACTTTCAGACAATAAAATAAAATATGAGGGGCCAGGGGAGAAGACTTAGTGGGTAGAGGCTCTTGTCTCCAAACCTGATGATCTGACAGTGGGGAGAGAATCCCCTCTTGCAAATTGCCCTTATGGTCACACACATGCTCTGACACATACGTATCCACATACCTACACAAAAAAGTAAATACATGACAAAGATTGTTTTTTAGTGGTAGGCTGTTTTTTAACACTAGTGTAAATTTAACAGTACCATGAGTCTACTGCTACATAATAAAGAGCTAAAGTTGGATGAAACTGAGTCCTGGTACTGGAAGCTTCATTTGGTGACAAAAGACAGCAAGTTGGGATTCTGTCTCCATTATTTGGAAACTTCATTAGCATAGCCTTCATATATTATACAAAATTTCCATTGCACTAAGTTCCCATGCTGCCCCTCAAATGCCCTTTAATTCTACCTATTTCTCTACTCATTCCCTTTCTCAATCCCTCCCGCCCCGTTTTTATCTGGTCTTCCTACCCATGTCCCCCTCCCTGCTCCAGTTTTCCCATCAAATCTATTCTATTTCTCTCTCCCAGAGAAATCCAAGTGTCTCCCCTAGTCCTTTCCTCTATGTCTAATCTTTCTTAGTCTATGGATTGTAGGCTGGTTATCATTTATTTAATGGCTAATATTCAGATATAAGTAAATATAAACCATATTTATTCTTCTGGGTCTGGTTGTTTCCAATTTCTGGCTATTATGAATGAGAGCAGCAGTGAACATGGTTGAGTAAGTGTCCTTGAGGTAAAAAGAAGTGTCCTTTGGGTACATACCCAAGAGTAGTATAGCTGCATCTCGAGGTAGATCAATTCCCATCTTCCTGAAGAACCACTACATTGATTTCCAGAGTGGCTGTACAAGTTTGACCTCCCACCAGCAATGTGTTCCCCTTGCTCTACATCCTTCCCAGCATGAACTGTCTCTTGTATTGATCTTAGACATTCTGACATGTGTAAGATGAATTCTCAAAGTAGTTTTGATCTTCATTTCCCTGATGGCTAAGGATGTAGAATACTTCTTTGTTTCTCAGTCATTTGAGTTTTCTCTATTTGAGAATTTTCTGTTTAGATCTGTACCCCATTATAAATTAGGGTTATTTGGGTTTTTGATACAAAGTTTCTTGAGTTTTTTTTTTTAATATTTTAGACATTAGCCCTCTGTTGAACGTGGAGTTGGTAATTGAGTTTTCAGCCAAAAGGGTCCTATGAAAACCCCCCAAACAAACCAGATTTACCAAGACAATAATAGTTTGTCTCCACACATTGATAATACTGTCCCATTTCTGAAGACAACACCCACACAACTTATTGAACATGGAGAGGTTTAGCTGGCACCTTCACCGGCATGTTCCAGAGTCTTTGACATGGAAAAGGAAAGGTACTCTGCAAAAGGGTAATGTAAACACCAACCAACATAGAATCTTTCATTTACAATCTGTCCTGCCTATGAAATATGCTAGGGCAATGGTGGCACAAACTTTTAGGAGTAACCAACGGTATCTGATTTAAGGCCCACTGACACGGCTTAATGACCAAAAACCAACAAGTAGAAAGCCCAAGATCTAGAGTAAAACCAAATACTACTGATCTAAAAAAAAGTAAGAATAAAATGACACATAATGCTATTTTGCTACACTCATAGATAGGTGCCTAGCTTGGTCCATTATCAGAGAAGCTTCCTCCTGTAGGAGATGGAAACAATTAACAGAGACCTACAGCCAACATTATGTAGAGAGAAAGAGAGAACTTTGGAATACACAGTTCTACATGAGTTGACCCCATTATATCCCTATCTATGGAAGAGACAGGAGTTCAGTAGACAGAGGGAACAGAGGCCACCAGGAGAACACAGTCTGCTAAAAGAACTAGAAAAGCTCATATGAACTTAGAGACTTGAGTAGCAAATACGGTCTAACATGGCTGTTCATCATGTCTTCTGAATATATAGCTTTCAGTTTAGTATTTTATGGAGCTCCTGAATGTGAATGAGTGGATCTCGGATTTTTGTGCCTTATCTTAGGACGCTTGTATTTTTCTGTTGGCTTGTCTCACTCAACTTTGATATGAAGATTTTTGTTTTATCTTATTATATTTTATGTTTTGTTGTTATCTCCTAGAAGTCTGTTCTTTTCTAATGAGAGACATAAAGGTAGTGGTCCTGGATAGGAAGGAGGAGGGGATGAACTGGGAAGAGTAGAGGGAGGGGAAGCTGCATTCAGATTATATTGTATGAAAAAAGAAATCTATATTTAATTAAAGGGGAAAAGAGTTAAAATTGTACAGTTTCAGCTATGGTTTTATCAGCTATTTCACCACTGTATAAGTTTTATCTTTCTATGGAAATTCATGACATCCTTAATGTACTTCACATAAATATGATAGAGAATCTGTGGGAAAATTCTCCGTACCAAGTTAGTATTAACCTCACAAAATAAAGAGAAAGGCTTGTTATGAACATTTAAAATAAAACTATATAGGATTCCTGTCCAGACCACCGAAGAGGCAACATGTAAGCTGTCACACTGAGAAAGATGTAAAATGGGGTAAACTGAGAAATTATCAGGTCCGAGGATTGAATTGGCTCATCTCTCTGTATGAAAATGGCATCAGTGGTATCCTTGCAGATAAAATGGGTTTGGGAAAGACACTTCAAACAATTTCTCTCCTTGGGTACATGAAACACTATAGAAACATTCCTGGTCCTCACATGGTTTTGGTTCCCAAGTCTACATTGCACAACTGGATGAGTGAATTCAAGAGATGGGTGCCAACACTTAGATCTGTTTGCTTGATAGGAGATAAAGAGCAACGAACTGCATTTGTCAGGGATGTTTTATTACCAGGAGAGTGAGATGTGTGTGTCACATCTTATGAAATGCTCATTAAAGAGAAGTCTGTGTTCAAAAAGTTTAACTGGAGATACTTAGTTATAGATGAAGCTCACAGGCTAAAAAATGAAAAATCTAAGTTGTCAGAAATAGTGAGGGAATTCAAGACTACAAATCGACTGTTGCTAACTGGGACGCCTCTTCAGAACAACTTGCACGAGCTCTGGTCCCTTCTGAATTTTCTCTTACCGGATGTGTTTAATTCAGCTGATGACTTTGATTCCTGGTGGATACAAATAATTGCCTTGGGGATCAAAAGCTTGTTGAGAGGCTTCATATGGTTTTGCGTCCATTCCTCCTTCGTCGAATTAAAGCTGATGTTGAAAAGAGTTTGCCTCCAAAGAAAGAAGTAAAACTCTATGTAGGTCTTAGCAAAATGCAAAGGGAATGCTGCTGGATTTGGTTGCTGTTCCCTGTTCAAGCAGAGGATTTGATCTGTTGGAATACAGACTAAAACATGGTCCATTGCTCTTATCTTTCTGCTGTTGACAATCCCTGTGTCCTCCTGGGGGATTGTGCAGCACTTAGTGCATTACACGCAACCAGAAGTTCAGAAACCTATTATAAGGATCCTTTGGATGGCCCCAATATACAGTTTGAATACTGTAAAGATCAGCAACAGCATCTCCGTCCTCTCTGCTGCTGTCCACCCTGGCCTATCGGAGACCATCCCTCCATGTGCTCCGTGTCCAGGAGATGGGCAGCTCCATCATGGTCATCGAGTCATCCCATGATGTATGTGTGTCCTAGAAGACACATCTGCAACCCCATCCCAGATCCACAGGATGATGCTGAGGTCACCAAGAGCATCAGCACACCTAAAGACCTGAATGAATTTCCTCGAGCGTTCAGGGAGCTGTCACATGACACTATCAACACCGTGGTCTCTACCCCGAACCAGAACGCTGACTATGACAACAGCGTGGACGGTCCTCCGATCAGTAGCCTAACGATGACAGCAGCGTGGCTGCTCCCCCGTTCAGAAAGTTGAGAATGAAGACAGCATAGGCACTGGCATGCGTCCATGAACCAGAATACTGACTATGAAAACAACAAAATAATAACCTTTGAAGAGTCGCCATCTACCTCTAGCGAGGACCAGTCCCTGCAGACAGCTGTATCCTCCAAGAAGCAGAGAAGGCACTGGAAAAGGGTGAGGAAACAAATCCGTCAGCTGTGTTGCTGCTGATTCTCTGCCTCCTCACTCCAAAGGAAGAAGACCTAGTCCCCAGAGGATGAGACCCTGTGGATTGCTTCTATCCCAATATGGTATGATAGACCACGCCCTCCTGAAAACACCCTCAAAACATTACTTTGCTCAACTGCCGACTGAGATGAACCTGACACACAGGTTACACCAAAAAATACCTAATTAACAGCACCCCCATATAGTAGGAAGAAGTTTGGTGAGAAACTGTGCCCATGTTCCCAAATATTGTTTATAAATGTTCTTTTACATTTAAAGGGGGATATAATATAGATATGAATAATTTGCATTGGTATGGATTTTAAGGTCAATTTTGTTATATGTATATGTATTTCTGATCTTGATTAAGGTATTATGATTGTGTAGTTCATTTAAAAATGCAATGTATAGGAAATATAGGTTGTTAATAGAAAATCATCGATAATAGTTGTCTGTAGTCATGTTAGTTAGATTTTCTAGGTATACAGAGATATATTTCAGTTAAATAGGCATTCTTCATATCTTTCAAAGACTATAAAATATGACATTTAATGTTTTAATAACTTAGGGCTTTTCATGACAATGAGACACATCTGCTCCTGGCAGCACCAATCTACTTCAAGAGGAATATGGGCATTGAAGAGGCTCCTTATGGAGTTTGATAACCATTTGGGCAAGAAATTGCTCTTGCCTGGACTGTTATATAAACTGGACACAAAGAACTCACAGAGAGAGGACTACTGAACTTGCCTAAAGGTGAGATTGTCTTTCAGGGTTCCTGATTCATAAAAGAGTCTGCGAGACATTCTACAGGACACAGCAGATAGTGACTGAATGGTTTTTTAATTTTCCTGCTTCATGGAAATGTCTGCTGGATACTATGGGCCTGTAGGCTGAAGATGGATGCCCCAACAGTACAAAAGAACTTTGGGTGACTGTCCAGGCAGCGAGATGTCTCTGTCATTTCTAGAGTTTGTAAGTTGCTTATTTCTTATTTGCTTAGGTAATATTATATCCTTCTGGAGTCTTTGATGGAGTTGAAGAATGGTTAGTTATAGTTATAGTTTTCCTTAGCTATGATAAAAGATAAAGTAGATACAAATATTGTAACTGTAATTCTTGCTTGATAACTGTTTTGTTATATGTAATTTTACTATGTTAAAGTGAAAAAAAAACTATATATAACAAAAATGTACATTCTGATGTTAAAATGTCCATGTTAATTATTTTCTTATTGTTGAACAATAGAGTCATCAGAGTAACTGGATCAAGAGCTGTGGATATGGGTCGGTTGGTAACATGCCTACCGTGTAAGCATGACAATCTGAGTTCCAGTCCCCAACCCCATCATTCACGCAAACAGTTGGGCCCTGTGAGTCACACTTATCACCCTAGTGCTGTAGGCAAGCATTGCACGCACAGACTGATGGATCCCCAGAGTTCAATGGTTTGGTGAGAGACTTCTATGTTCACTTCTGGCCACCACATACACAAGCTACATATCTACACACACACACACACACACACACACACACACACACACACACACAGAGTCACATGCACAGATACAAAGACATACACATATACAAACATGCAGACAGTCTTTTCATATTGTTCGTAACAATAAAATGGAATGAGACCTGCTTTGTTCTAGCTGTGTTCTTTTACTAGAGTTCCAGAGGATGTTGACATCAAGAGAAACTTAATAGTCTATTCGTAAGATTCCTCTATATTACTTCTGTTTTACACAAATCTATAATTAACTCAATAAAATTTTACTTCAAAAAACTACATACAATTGATGCAAAACTAGTAAATGTTATAGATTTAAAATCCTTAATAGATATTATAACTGTATTTTATATGTTTATAAGTAAATAGATATGCAAGGTAATTTTAGAAACATCCAAACTGAACTTCTAGAGATGAATGATACACTAGAATGAATTAATAAATAATTAAATACTGTAGTTGGTGTACTTGAAGACTCAACAAGAGAAAGTAAATTAAACAAGCAAAACAAAAATAAAATAAAAAGCAATACAAGTAAAAAAAGAATAAATGATCTTTCATCCATGGGACAATTCAAGTGGCCTACTATGTGTATAAATGGAATCCATAAAGAAGGGGAAGACAGAGATAAGTAGTTTGTCAAGAAAATGAATGAAAAGAAACAATGAGTCTCAAGTATAAGAGGCCCTGGAAAAAATATCATGGGGCACATCATAATCAATTGCTTAAAACCAATGACAAAGAAAACATTTAAAGCAGTCAGCGATGGCAGGGCTTTTTATAGCGGGAGAAACAAAATTATGGAAGATAGGAGAGGTTCCACTGGAGATAGAGGACGTATCATCCAACATGACATCCACACCTCTAAGCCTCCTGTCCTACTTGTCTGTTACCTCCCCAGGTGGCACCAATTCTTCTTTCATGTCACATGTATTTGATTACACTATATTTTGTTCTGAAGGGATTTTGTTCAAAGGTATTTCCTGCATCTAATGAGACATTAGGGTGCCTTCTCTCCTTGAGTCTGTTTATTTGATAGATAAAATTTATTGTTTAATACAGGTTGAACCATCCCTCTATTTCTGGGATGAAGCTGACTTTATCATTTTTTTATGTGCTCTTAAGTTCAGCTTATAATTATTTCAGTGAGAATTCTTGCAACTATGTTAATCAGAGATTGGTCTAATGTTTTCTTTCTTTAGTTGGACCTTTGGCTGGTTTTGACATCAATGTTATATTGGCTTTGTATGAAAAAATGGGATTGTTCCTTCCTTGTTTATTATATAGAATAATTTAAAGAATCTTGGTGTTAAATTTTCTTTGAATGCCTGGTAGAATTCTGTACTGGCCCTGGGACTCTTAGTTGTGAATTTTTTTCCTTTTTTAAAAAAGATTTTATTTCTATTTTAAGTGAATTGAGTATGATGTCTGCATGTATGTCATGTCTGTGTACCATGGACATGCAGTGCCCAAGGAGACCCAAAGAGGGCACCGAATCCCCTAGAACTGGAGTTGTTTGCTTCCATGTGGCTGCTAAGAATCAAAACTGGGTATTCTGAAAGAGAAATCAGTGCTCCTAACCACTGAGTCATCTTTTCACAGTCCCTAGTTGGGATATTTTTAATTACTGCTGCTATCTCATTGGTTGTTAACACTCTATTTAAATTGTTTATTTAATCTTACTTAATTTTGGTATGCCACATACATTTAAATTATTTCTTTTAGATTCTTACATTTTAGGGGACTATAGAGTTTTAAAGTATGTCCTTATGAATCTCTGAATTTCTTCAGTGACCTTTATAATGGTTCCTTTTTCATCTCTGACTATTAATTTGGATTCTTTTTTCCTTTCAGTTAATTTCACTAGAGGTTTGTCAGTAAGATATGTCAGTTGTGCAAGAGTGGTCTGACGGTTACAGGAGTAAAGACTTTCTGAGTGATTTTAACACCATCTTCATAAGATGGGATCCATACTCAACACCAGTACTGTGACCAAGAAGCAGTGACTATATGGATCATACAGCATAGGGGAGAACCTACTACTTGTATTCTGCTAAATGGACAAAATCCTCAAGAGCTTCTTAATGATTTACTGCTACACTCATAGACTGATGGATCTCTCAGCCCTTATCAGAAAAGCTTCTTTTTGCAGTAGGTGGTGATTAACACAGACGCTTACAAATGATCAATGTGCAGAGAATATGAAACCGTGAAGGGCTCAGTCCTACATGGGACACATATATGACAGCCCCTCCTTCCAAAGCTCAGGGATTATTATGGGAGAGGGGGGCAGAAAAGGCTAGAAGTGGTAGAAAGCACAATAAAGCCGTGCTTTCCAAACCGAACTGGGTATTTATAGACACAGCAGTGTAGTTGTATTGTGAGAGTGAACTCACAGTGGTTGTGACAGCATGCACAAGCTAGATAAAATCCAAGCATAGAGACGGGGAACAAAATAGGCATGATGTCTCACTTCTAGCTGAGAAGCTATTGACAACTGGTAACTACTCGAAGGAGAGTCCGTTTTGATTATGGGTGTGATGCCTGGTAAGTAGATCCGGGAGTGACCCCCACCCTCAAGAGTATTTGAGCAGTACAAACTGGTCTTGTGTTTAAAAATAAAAGAAAGAGGACATAAAGTTTGGTGGGTAGAGAGGTGGGAATGGATATAGGAGGAGGTAGGGGAGAACAGGTGACCATGATCAAATGCACATTAAATTCTCAAAGAACTAATGAAAATATTAAAAGAAGATAAACAGGTTATATACTCCTAGTATATAATGATATATACTCCTAGTATATAATGACACAGAGTAAATCATTTTATATATTTCAAAAGGAAAGGACAAGTGAAGAACAGGGACTAATCAAGTCAAATCAAATCAAAATCTAGCAGGAATTATACCAAATCCTGCAGCTCCATGTCTAACATCTGGGGACTATAATGTAATCATCTGTGTTCCAAATGGCTTAGGTAGCCTCACCTTTCCAGCTCTGCCTGTGGTGCACACAACTCTCTCACAGGCTTAGGCTGGTGCCACTCCAAACCTGCAGCTTCTTTGGCAGATGTCCTGTAATTGTGGCATCTTCTGGGGTCTCCACTGAAACTGACGTTTTACTTTCAAAGGTCCACGAAATGGGTCTTTTCAGGGCCTCTTTGCAGGGACCTACCAGACAGTGCCTGGTCTCATCATCTTTCCATGACCCTCCTCAATATTGAACTTTGCCCTCAAAACAAGCATCAGGTGCAAGATGCTTACAACACTGTGAAGCTGTACTGCCCTCTGGAAATGCAGCTCAGCTCCCTTGAGCCTGCTGAAAGAGCTTCTACGGAGGGGTCCTGAAGAAGCTCTTTGCTGTTGCCCCAGTGTAGCTCAGTGAACTCAGCCCTGGAGCTAAGATCTCTTATCAGTTACTGCTGCTTTTACAGTAGCAGCCTGAAGATGTGTGTGTGTGTGTGTGTGTGTGTGTGTGTGTGTGTGTGTGTGTGAGTGTATTACAGGTTCCACATATGAAAGGATAATCTACACATATGACATAGAAGGAGAAGGCAGACTATTTTGGGAC